AAGACGCGCTCGCACGTTGTTTTGCAATTTCTTGTATATTAGAAAAAAATTTACTGAAAACGTGGAAAGAAATTTTTTTTAAACTGGTCCAAACTATAACTACTGTTTGAGAAAAGTTTTTAAAAAAATTGTCTCTCTTTTATTCCGATTTTTAAATCCTTAAAGCAGCTGCAATCTTTCATTAAACAATATTCTGAAACAAAAAACAAATTTTTAATTTAGATTTAAATTTAAATTTTATATGAATTCTGGTAAATATTGGTTAGAAATTTACCCAGTAATTAATAATTATAGATATTAATTAATTATAATAAAGGATTAATAATTTTTTTTTGAATTTCGCGCCAAAAGTTCTTTAAACTGCCGCCTAGAGGGCATGAAAATTCTCTCACAAACGAGATTCGAATGGTCGTCGTGATTATTATTATTTATATTAATCTCTTTTTTTACTCTTAAAAATTTTAATAATTAAATAATACTAAAACATTAGAATAATAAATCATCATTTATTATTGTATTAAAAAATTCTAATAAAAAAATTTTATAAAATAAAAAAAAAATACTGAAAAAGAATAAAAAAGTAAGGAAAAAAATAATATTAAAAAAATATATATTTAGACACTTGATGTCAAATTGGAAAACAAAAAAATTATAATAATGAAATAATACTAAAACATTAGAATAATAAATCATTATTTATTATTGTATTAAAAAATTCTAATAAAAGCATTTAAAAAAGTAAAAAATATACTAAAAAAAATAAAAAAAACAATTTTAAAAAATGAAAAAAGTAATGAAAAAAAAAACATTAGAAAAAATAAATAAAAATATTTAGACACTCGACGACAAATTGACAAATGGAAAAACGAAAAAGACAATAAAAAATTTATTGTACAGAGAAGAATTAATTTTATCCCCCATTTTTCGAATGTCAAAAGAAAAAAAAATCCCTGGCAAACAATAAATTTCGTCCTAAAATCATCAAGAGCCGAAAAAAGCTGCCTTGAAAATTTATTCAGTGCATATTTCTATTATGCATAAATATACATAGCTACACTGTGTATTTTGATGATTAACAATTTGTTGTGCGACTCCTTACGTGACACAAATATCTTACGTAATTTCTAATGCGCACGTAGCCAACTTCTATAAATTTCATTAAAATGTTTTCATTTCAATAAGTACATACAAATTTGCCTAAACAATAAAAACTAAATCATGAATAATTTTCTCAATTATTTTCCATTTAAGAAAAAAAATATAAATTAAATAAAAAGAAATTTTTCGATAAAAAAAGATCTTTTTTTCTCCAATATTATTCGATGAAAAGATATTCATAAAAAAAATGCAAAAAAAACAAGAGAATATTTTTCTTAAAAAACAATGATTGCATTTAAAAGAAATGACGATTTATCATTAAATTGATGCACTCGCGAGGAATTTGTTTGTGCAAAAAAAATGAAATCTTTGGTTATTGCTTACAATTAGTGATAAGAATTTCTTTCTCCTCATGTAGATTAAAAAAAAATTCTTTTTCAAAGGATTAAAAAAATATTTGTCTTCAAAAAAAAAAAAAAAAAAAACTATTATACAGCAATCTTTTAGCATGACGTTTAAAATGACATCATACTCAATTAAAGGCCAATAACCTTAGTAATATAAATGCATTGAAGTTATGAAAAAAATTTCACTAAACAAGAATATAATTCTTTCATCATTAAATAAATTTATTGTCAGGTAATTATCGGGATGAATTAAAAAAAAAAATGCGTAAACATATTTTTAATAGAAAAATTCTTTTTTTTCCATAAATGTATTGGATAGAAATTAATTATTTCTTTTTATAATGATGTCAAGTGCATTTAGATAGTTTGCTTTCTTTTATCCACTTAAACATTTAGTACCTCTCTTATTGCAATTTAAGTGACATCCACAATCACGTGAACCGATAAACATAACGGGCAATTAAATTATAATATTAATCGGACAATTATCAATTCAAGGACAAGTTACGAAACTAGGATTTGTTGGCAAATTGCTTATTGTATATCCTCAATGTTCTTTAGAAGAAAATAGTAATTTTTCTATCAACTTTAGAGAACATGATGAAAAAAATAGGGAAATTAAAAACATTTAATTTTGGGATATTTTGAAAATTATTTTTATTTTAGAAAATTTTTGATAATTTATTTTTTTCTATTGTTTATACTTATTATGTTCATCAACTGATTAATTATTATCTCTTATTTTCATCAATTTGAATAAAATTTGACAAAAGAATTTAATTATTTTTAAATATTTCAAAAAAATTCTTCGGCGGAATTTTTTTTAGAACTTTTAATAAAATTCCTACCAAGAATTCAATTTTTTTTTATAAATAATAAAATTCCTCGCAGAAGTTCAATATTGTTTTTAATGCAACTTTCATAAAATTTCTCGCAAGAATTCAACGATTTTCAAAAATTTTATTAAAATTCATCTCGAGAGTTCTATTGTATTATTATTATCATACTCAAAAAATATCTTACTTTGCAGGAATTGAATTATTTTTGATAAAATTTTAATTAAATTCTTTGCTAGAATGGAATTTTTGCATAAAAAATAAAATCCTATTCAGATTTTCAATTATTTTTAATAGTTTTGATAAAAGTCTCTGTAAAAATTCAATTATATTTATATTCGTTAAAAGTATTCAATTATTAGAAAAAAATTATTATAAATTCTTTCAGTCGCAATTCAATTATTTTTATAAATAAAACATTCTTCGGAGGAATTCAATTATTTTTCATACAATTTTAGTAAAATTGCACAAATTAATCATTTTCAAAAATTTTATTATAATTCTTCGCAAGAATTTAATTATTCGGGTAAATAGTAAAATTTCTGTCAGGAATTCAATTATTTTGAATAATTTTTCTAAATTTCTTTGTAAAATTTCAATTATAATTCAATTCCTTGAAAGTATTGAATTATTTTCAAAAAATTAAATTAAATTCTGCGAATCACTTGAATTATTTTTGAATATAAAAAGTTCTTTAAAGAAATTCAATTATTTTTAATTCAATTAAAATAAAATTGCACGAAATAATTCAATTATTTTTAAAATTTTAGTAAAATTCTTCCATGAAATTTAATTGTTTTAAATACAATTATAATTTGATTCCTCGATAGAATTTTATTATTTACAAAAATTTTAATAAAATTCTTCGCTAAAATTCAATTATTTTCAAAAATTTTATAAAAATTCTTCGCAAGAATTTAATTATTCGTGTAAATAGTAAAATTTTTCGCTAAAATTCAATTATTTTGAATAAATTTTCTAATATTATTTGTAAAAATTCAATTATAATTAAATTCGTTGAAAGTATTCAATTATTTTCAATAAATTAAATTAAATTCATCGAATCTATTAAATTATTATTTTCGTAAGCAAAAAGTTCTTCTGAGAAATAAATTCAATTATTTTTCATACGATTTCAATAAATGTTCTCAGAAGAATTTAAATTCCTTAAAAGAATTTAATTATTTTCAAAAATTTCAATAAAATTCATCATAATAATTCAATTATTTGTGAAAAAAGTAAAATTCTTCTGATAAAAAATCTTTGTAAAAATTTAACTGCTCCTAACACAATTTTAATTCAATTTCTTGAAAGTATTCAATTATTTTCGTAAATAAAAAAGTTCTTCGGGAGATATTCAATTATTTTAAAATGTATTTTAATAAAAATTCTCGAAAGAATTCAATTATTTTCAATAATTTTGCTAAAATTCTTTCTAAAAATTCAATATTTATTTTAATTCAAGACTAATTCGTAATTCCTTGGAAAATTCAATTGTTTGCAAAAATTTTAAAGAAATTAATTTATTAACCCCAAAATTATGGAGAATAAAATAATTTCAAAGTATTTCTTGCAAAAATTACTCAGAAAAGTTTGCGAAAAAAAATGACAAAATTGTTCTCTAAATAAAATTTAGTAAAAATTTAAATATTCCTATAAAATTAATAACATTAACCATATTTTTCGTTAATAAAAATGATTTTTTCCACAATAATTTATAAGAAACTATTTTTATCTTTCATATTATAATGTTAAAATTACTTTTACAAATTATATTATAATTTTTTATTCAAAACAATTTTGTTCAATTAATTTTTGTTATTATTCAATCTCCAAAAAATTCAAGAAAAAAAAATCTTCTCCTGGAACAGTAACAAATTTATTTATATTAGCGAAATTTTTATTTACTTGATTTCAATTAATACTTTCGCTATTTTAGAGAAACTTATTGTTGGTCCAGGTAAAAGTTTTTTTAAATCTGAGTTAGTGAAAAGTCGTCCACTATAATTTAAATTAATAAAAATCCCCACTAATTGTTAGTAACTTTTCGCTGAAACTTTAGCAAAAAATTTCAAAACTACCAATTGAAGTAATAAAATTTTACTATCAATTAGTGAAATTTTTTACTGTTTTGAATTAGTGGACGACTTTTCACTAATTTTAATTCACTCTCTAAATTTGAATTAGTGAAAACTCGTCCTATAATTCAAATCAGTAAAAAATTTCACTAATTGATAGTAAAATTTTACAATAAAAAATTTTTTTTTACTAAAAAATAACTATTTAAATAATTATTAAAAATTTGGGAAACAAAAAGTAAACAAAAACAACTATAAACTGCGAGCATACATCCAGAATACAATGATGAATAAAATGAATATAGAAGATTCAATTGCATATATTCATTTCTAATTATATTAACCGTAGCTATTCCATTGTTAATTTTATAATATAACGATTAGTAATTATTTCAAACAATCGAAATGCAAAATTCTCCCAAAAAGTGTACATATAAAAATGATATCTCAACACGTAAAAATATTCTGCTCATGCGTAAAACTGAGGAGATCCCGGAGCGAGGCTGCCTCGTAAAATAATTGATCCAATCGGAATTCACCGAGCTCCCGCCAGTTGCTTCGTTCCTCGACCGCTTTTATGTAATCTTTCGCGATCGTGTCTGGAGTTTCTTTCTCGTTTATGTGTGTAATTTGAGGCAACAAAAGGAAGAGAGAAAATTCCAAATTACTTTTGTCATACATTCCCCATTTTCATAGAAACAATAATAAGAAACAAAAATCAAAATTCCAAAATATCCACAAAGTGACAACAAGTGTCCCTTGTTTATTTTTCTCCACTTGCACAAATTTTACCCCTATTTTGCAAAAATAAATTTTTTTTGCTAAAATAATTTTTTGTTAAATCACTATAGTATGGTACAAATGAAAGAGAATCAATTTTTACCAAAAAATATAGAATACATTTTTTTAATTATAATTAATGATTATAATTGATTATAATTTTGAGTGGTTTATGATTTTGATTTAAATTTCGAATTTTTGATAAAAGAAAAGTTTAGGGGGAAAAATAGAAGAAAAGATGTGACTTTTGACCGGTGTGGAAAAATGTAAACCCTTAAAATTCGGGGGATGAGGTTAGGTGGAAAAAAAGCTCGAAAGCTTCGAGGGTTGTGGCGCTGTTGAGCTTTAGCGTTTACTGCGCGCAAAGTCGGTGACAGAGAGGGAGAGACACGCCAGTCTTCGGGCAACCGTTATTGTAAAGTGAATGTACGCCAGTTCTCGAGAGTCGTTTGAACCGCGTGGTTCGAAGTGTCAAACGGATGCTCACCAAACAAAACTTCAATGTCAATACTGACACCTGCGCATCTACTATTAATAATTAATAATAATAATAAAAATTCTCAACTGTGATTCATAAATAATTTAAGGAAAAAGAAAGTGATGATAGAAAAAAAGGAATTCTATAAAAAATTGTGAGAAAATGTATAGCGTTTTTAATATCCTAAAATCAGCAGTCAGCGGATTTTATCGGGAGGACTATTATTTTGAGAGGAAATAATAATAAAAAAGTGGAAGATGACCGAATTGGCGAAGGAGGCATTTGCCTCACGTAATTATGGATTGGCTGTTGAAATTTATGAGCGATGCCTTAAGCAGCAGACGCCGAATTTTGAAATTCTCTTTGGCTATGGTGATTCATTGGCGAAATGTGGAAGAATAAGGGATTCAATTGATGTTTACGCGAGATGTTTGGCATTGGGTAATGTGCCAGTGGAGAGGCTGAGACATCTTGTTGGTGCATTGATGGAAGATCTGAGTGGGAATTGCATGGGATTGAGGCGAAGAATAAATGATTCTTTTGCCTGTGGATATTGTGAGGGGACCTTGTTTCAGCCGGTCACGGTTAATTGTGGTCATACATTCTGTAGAAATTGCCTCGAACCCGCCAAGAATTGTCGCGTGTGCGGACAGAAACTCGATGCAGTGGGGGAAACAAATGTGCTTGTGCAAAGGCTTGTTGAAAAGTGGTGGCCAAGGGAGGCAGAAGCAAGCAGGGCAAGACACGAGGGTGACCTTCTCTTAAAGGAGGGTCACATCGGTCAAGCACTGGAGAGATACAATCTCGCTGTCCACCTTGGTGAGCAAAAATTATTGTTCGATCGTCTTTAGTTGATATCAACACACCTACATATGATCATGCCTTTTGCTAAAAAAAAAACACAATTTTTAAACAAATTTTATACCGAATTTTTGGTATCAATTTTGATCCAATTTGGTATTTGGTACACAAATTTTTGTAAATTTTTATACCAAAGTTTTGCTATTAATTTTGATCCAATTTGGTACACAAATTTTTAAAATTTTTATACCGAATTTTTGGTATCAATTTTGATCCAATTTGGTATTTGGTACACAAATTTTTAAAATTTTTGTACCGAATTTTTGGTATTAATTTTGATCCAATTTGGTCTTTGGTACACAAATTTTTAAAATTTATATACCGAATTTTTGGTATCAATTTTGATCCAATTTGGTATTTGGTACACAAATTTTTTAAATTTTTATACCGAATTTTTGGTATCAATTTTTTGGTAAAAGAATTGAATTCCTTTCAACAAATTTAATATAATTCTTCGCAAGAATTCAACGATTTTCAAAAAATTATTAAAATTCATCTCCAGAGATCTATGGTACTATATTATTATCATATAAACAAAAAAACCCCGTTTGCAGGAATTCAATTATTTTCGTTACAATTTTAATTAAATTCTTCACGAGAATTCCACTTTTGGATAAAAAAGAAACTTCTATTCAGATTTTCGATTATTTTTAATACTCTGAATTAGTTAAAAATCATTGTTTTAACTGACAATCAGTGACTGACCTTTTGATTGTGAATCAGTTAAAAATAACTAAATAATTATTTAAAGTTGACTAATTAAATGAGTTAAAAAAAATTTACTGAAACAATAGTTATTTTTAACTAACAATCAGTTATTATTTTAACTACTTGTCAGTTGAAATATTAATATTTGAATTAGTGACTGACTTTTTGCTCCTAAATCAACTATTTTTAACTGATTCAAACTTAGAGAGTAGTTTTGACAAAAATCTCTGTAAAAATTAAAAATTCAATTATAATTCAATCCTTTCAAAGTATTCAATTATTTTCAAATAATTAAATTAGATTCTTTGCATTAACTCAATTATTTTCATAAAAAAAAAAATTCTTTGGAGAAATTCAATTATTTTTCATACAATTTCAATAGAATTTCTTGAAAAAATTTAATTATTTTCAACAATTTTATTCAAATTTCTTAGTAAGAATTCAATTATTCGGGTAAATATAGTAAAACTTCTGGGTTTAATTCAATTATCTGAGGATTTAAATTATTTTTCATACAATTTCAATAAAATTCCTTGAAAGAATTCAATTATTCCTTAAATTTTAATAAAATTCTTTGAAAGACTTAAATTATTCTTAAATTCTAATTGAATTCCTTGAAACAATTGAATTATTTTCAAAAATTTTAATAGAATAGTTCGCAATAATTTCACGATTTTCAAAAATTTTATTAAAATTCTTTGCAAAAATACAATTATTCGCGTAAATATTAAAATTTTTAGCTGGGATTCAATTTTTTTGAACGATTTTTCTAAAATTCTTTGCAAGAATTGAATTATAATTCAATTTTAATTTAATTCCTAAATATTCAATTATTTTCAAAATATTCAATTATATTATTCGAATCAATTTAATTATTTTCGTAAGCAAAGAGTTCTTCTGAGGAATTGCACTTTTTGTCATACTATTTTAATAAAATTTCCCCAAAGAATTCAATTATTCGCTAAAATTAAATTATTTTCAAAAATTTTATTAAAATTCTTCACCAATGAATCAATTATTTTTAAAAATTTTATTAAAATTCTTCACAAGAATTAAATTTTTTTGGGTAAATAGTAAAACTTCTAGCTGGATGTCAATTATTTCGGAAAATTTTTTCTGAAATTCTTCGTAAAAATTCAATTATAAATTTATAATTCAATTCGTTGAAAGTAGTAAATTATTTTCAAAAATTTAAATTAAATTATTCGAATCAATTCAATTATTTTCGTAAGCAAAAAGTTATTTTGAGAAATTGAATTTGTTTTTCATACTATTTCAATAAAATTTCTCGAAAGAATTAAATTATTTTGTAAATTTTAATAAAATTCTTAGAAAGAATTCAAATATTTTTGATACAATTTTAATTTATTTCCTTAAAAAATTTTGAAACCAATTTTTTTGACCCAAAAATTTTTTTTGACTCGGTCAAAAATTGTATCTCTCTTTTAGTTCACCAAAATCCTCTTTTTATCCTTCTTTAAACATGCAACACTGCAAAAATGTATTTTTTCACAACATTAGAGGTACAAAGGAGAGAGACTTAAAAGAGGTCGGAAAAGAGTCTTTTTTTTAATTTTCCGAAAACTAAAATTGATATAGAAACAATTTTAGCTTATTCCCACGATTCATGAACTTTTTCTTCTTTCTCTCTTCTGACTTTTGGCGAAATTTAAAAAACTTTTCAAATAAATCGAACAATATATTACCTAATATTAATAAATATGCAATTAATATTTGCAATTTTTGTATCAGCTAATAAAAAAAGTCCCACTCAAGGAGTTTTACATTAAAAAATGGTAAAAATTAGATATAAGAAATAAAAGAATAAATCTAAATTCTTAATTTAATATTTTAATCAGAAATTCCAAATCTTACACACAATTTAGCCTTGACAAATAATCGTAATCGATTTATAATCCTTGTTGATAAAAATCGAGTTCCCCTCTACTTTTAGGTGATGATACATCAAGAGCTAAATTTAGAAAAAATGTAGATAAATAAGTAGATGAATAATAAAGTAGATACAGAAAAGTATTATATAAATTGCACATGTGTCTGTTTTCAATGACTAATAACTAACCACTAATTTTACCATCATACTATTTGGATCATAGAACAAAAATCGTTTTCACAAATTTTGACAACTGTAATTCGGACGGACGTAAATTAATAATCCTCTCGTTGTCTTCAAAGAACGGCAGTTGAGAAGCATTAAACAAATTAGGTCTAAATGACCTAGAGTGTCAACAGAAGATTAAATGTAATAATTTCTAGTAGAGGAGAATTTATTTCCTATTTCTCTTTATTTATTTTATGAATGTTATTTTTTGCTCTTTATTTTCTGAATGTTACTTTTTTATAAATGTTACTTTTGTGTATAAATGTTATTTTTTGTATAAAAAAATGTTACTTTTTGGTATAAATGTTTTTTTTTGTATAAATGTTACTTTTTGGTATAAATTTTATTTTTTGTATAAATGTTACTTTTTTGTATAAATGTTACTTTTTTGTATAAATGTTACTTTTTTCTACAAATGTTATTTTTTCTATAAAAGTTACTTTTTTCTATAAATCCCACAGAATTTATACCCTTTTATTCATAACACGAGAAAAATTTTTTTTTGAACCACTTGTTTGTGAAGGCAATTTAATTTTGAACTGTTTTGTAGGAAAAATATTGCATAACAAAATGTAAGTGGGAAGTATTTGAGTTTAAATAGCAAATAGTACAAGCAGTTAGTAGTACGATTAATATACAAAGCTCATATGTCTCTTATGAATTGCGTAACGGATGTAAATGCGACCAATCGTAGAGTAATTGTTGTATAGTTGTGGATCTGACTATCAACCAATCAGAGAAAATATTCAAGCTTATGTAAAATGAAAAAGGAGAAAAAAACATGTCTCATTGTCACTGACATTGGTTAATAAACACGGAAAACTTGATTTTAGTTCGAAATTTATTATAAATACTTTTTCACTTCTGAAACTGACTAGTTGATTTTGATTCAAAGATTGTTTCTTTGGATATAGAAAAAATTGCGATTAGTTTTTTCTTATCGAGCAAGATACAAATTCTGCCGATAATGTTTATTTAACACAACTTGACAATTTTTTTAATTTTTAATCTTATTCTTTATTGTAATCGCATATTTATCGAATCCTTATTAAAGATTAAAAGTATTGAGGTAGGTTGGAAGTTTCCTTTCTTTCCCCGACTGGTATAAAAAACATCCTTGATAAACCTGTATGGGATAAGAATAGATATCGAGCGCAAAAAAAAAGAAATGTGTCTGGAATTTTATGTCAGTAGTTGTGAGGCTCCTCGAAAAGGGATTTCTGACTTTATTTCTTTTTAAACTCGTCCTTCTCTTTTATACCCACTCCAATTCTCCAGGCGCAGTCTGGCTTTTTAATCGACCAACTCCACTGACTCTGGAGTTATTTTATAGTTAACCGACAAAATGCAGGTAAAAATTCTCAAATCCTTACCTTTCTCAATCACCTTATGCTTCGCCTATCGTTTTAAAAACGTAATTTTTTTCATTTCAAACTTCAAACTTTCGAGTTTAATTTTTTAGTATAAATATTCTCTTTGTCTGTTTATTGCAGACAATTTTTTAAATTAAAAATCTTTTTTATTATTATTTAATTTTTTTGTTAACTTTAATTAAAGTTCGTTAGCTTTAAAATTTTTTGTAACATTCGTAATGATAGGTCATTGTACTGATTACTGTTATCAGAAAACAAATCTATTCTTTCTGTACTAAAAATAAGAAATAATTCCAAAAAATCGAATATTGTGTAATTTTTGTTGTTTTATTTTTTTGAAATAACAAATGAATTTCGACATTAAGAGGAATTTATGCAGTTTATCCATAAAAGTTCCTCTTCTCGGGAAACGTGAAAGTTACCAGTCCTCATGGACGTGCCTAGTGTAGAGTGCGTTTTTCTTGTTTTTCGATCGGGCTGAATGCACCAGTCCAAGCTATAAGAGAAAAGGACACAGCTGCGTTCGGACGATGGTAAGTTCACGGCCAGTCTGAGAGCTGTTCTTATATAACCAGCCAGACTCAAGACTATTCCCAACTTGAGATACGCGCGCGGCTCTTGCACTCTTCGCAAGAGACAAAGAACTCTCGATATTCCCTTATAACGTTCAACATTTTCCCACAGTTATAAATTTATAACTGAATATGTAAATTAGTCAATTCTTTTTTTTTTTTTTTTGTAATTTTAATTCAATTTTG